TATATATATATTGCTTAACACTCAATTTTGTTAATTTTGTTTACATTTGTATTTACATATTTACAATTCTTTTATAAATAAATGTTTTGTGCATATAAACAAAAACTTAAATTCGAATAATACTGAATATATAGAAATAAAAGCCAATTTTAAAAATTTATAAATAGGCCTATTGTAAATAATACTGAAATAACACTGGCATGAAACATCCTTAAATGCCATATATGAGACGAACGCAAATGAGATTTGAGAACTAGAGAGGAGGGAAAATATATTCAATTATTAATGAACAATGACTTCAATTTCAGTCTGCTCCTCACACAAGCCTATCACATGGCATCAGAAGGCTTGAAAAAACAGCACACAGGTCATATGGGCTATTTTATGATACTTCTATGGTGCTTTTTGCCATTTTTTGAGCTTAACAGAGTCCATTCTCATTCACTTTTATTGTATGGAAAAGAGCAGCATGGACATTCATCAAAATATCTACTTTTGTGTTTAACGCAAGAAAGAAATTCATACACTGCAAAATTTGAGTTTCTGATGTTGTTTTTCCAAGTAAAATAAAAAATTCCTTAAAACGAGATAAATTTACTTGAGATGCAACAATGCTTATGATATAAAGACTTGTTTTCAGAGAATGTATCTTTAACACTAGTGTATTTGGTATTACACTGACAGATTTTTCAACTTTTTAAAGTATAAACAAGAATAAGTCTGTCAGTGCAGTAAAGATATTATATTTAAGATCAAATTTATGAAAACAAGCCCTAATAAGTGTCATTATGCAGTGTTGCTTCAAGTAAATTATCTTGTCTTAGAGATGATTTTTAGTCAATTAAATTGTAAAACAAGACAACAACACTCATTAAGAACACTTATCAGCACATAATAACCTCTAATGAAGTCTTTTAGACAGAGCACTTCTCAACTGAGCTAAACCAACAACTGACTAGCCAGTGAAAACCTGCATTTTTGCAAAGCGGTCCCCTAATTAGTCTACGTCGACGTGTTTGACATCTTTCTTCAAAGCACACACTAATAACGGTGGGTCATGTGAAGAAAGTAAACCACAAAGCAGACAAAAGAAAAAAAACACTACAGGTTTGACAGCTGA